GAGTTTTTCCAATTTCAGAAAAGTAAATTTTCAAGTTACTGATATTGAGCACACTGTCCATTCTCGTTTCGAGTTAATAAGATCATTGATTGCAGTGCTGTGGTCTTGATTTAATCAAAATATTATAAGTAAAATAAGTTGGTACAGTTTCAGAAGTAAGACTGAACTAACCTATTTTTTTTAGTAGACTCGGTGTTTGCATCAGTAATAGTTTCAGTTGTTGTTTTTGCAGTTTTTTGGACTTCTGGGACATGACTGATGTAGTTTTCCTTGTACTGTGGAAGTTCGGTTGCTAATCCAAAAAAAAAAAAAAAAAATGAAGGCAGTTTCTGTGCAAAAGGACCATTCAGTTTCAAACTGTCTAACTCAAAGGTACAATGAAAATACAAAGGGAAAAAGATTATTATAGCTTCTTTTGAAGGTCGTAAACGGAAAGGCATTTGTTTGTCTTCGGCCTCAGATATCTTTCCAAACATAGATTGCTTGAGTCTTCTATATAATTCTTTTGAATTAAATCCTCAACAAGTAAATCGTTTTACGGACGTCTTCCAGTTGTACAACGATTCCTGTAGATGGAGAAATGGTAACTGTTCCACCATATAAAACCTAAGTTTTCACAACACCTATTCGTAAGTAAATCATTACTACACTAAATAAGTGTAAAGGAGAGCAAAATATAAAAAAAGATGCTTGAATTGCCCCGTCAGAACGAATGTCAGGAAAAAGCAGCAAGTTTTTTGCATTTAATAGTAAAGCTAAAATGCTGATATAGGAACGTATGAGCCAAAGTTAATTTAGTTAGCAGTGCAAAAAAAAAAATAGTTGAGTAAATGGCTGAATTTTAGATAAGTTAATGAATAAGCAGTGTTATAAAATTAGAGTTTTCTGCACCTGATTTAACCAAAAACAGCTCGCTTTTGTGGACTTCGTATATTTACCACATTGATTTCGTCAATGAATAATTTACTTGATTGCCTACTTAGTTTCATTTTTTGCTAATGCTTTAATTAATTTGAAATTGCTTTTTTAATTTGTTTTTTTCTTAATTGTTTGGAAAGCCGATATAAATACCAATTCTTAACAGTAAAACTTAAATTTGAATGGCCACTCCTAGAGAGGGAACAGATGAACAACCAACGACAACTTTAAATTCTCTTGTTCTCATAGCTGCATTCATAGTAGTTGGATGGACTAAAAACTGAAAGACAGTGTATCCAGGTCATCAGTCTATTCCTCTGCTTAGTTTACAGATGAGAACTGCTGTGCTTACGGATTTCAATTTTTTAAATAAATTTATTTTCAAATACAAATTGTCAGAATGGAACTGTACCCAGATTAAAGCATTTCACATAGAAGGAGAAAAGCAATTAAATTGTATCACTAAAGAGGCTCCGTAATTGATTTGATATTAATCTGATATTAGATCTTTTTTACCATTGATGTAGAAGATCGGTCTTGATGTAATATAAATTTTTTTTAATAAGAAGAAGTTTGATTAACTAAAGAAGCAGTTTGTTGATTAAAGATTACTAAATTATAACTTATAACTGACAAATTTTGTATATTTATTTAATTTTCAAATTGAGGTTTTTTGCAGAAAAACTTTTTAAGTTTAATTCTGTACTTTTGGTAGTTCAGGTATTAAACTAGTGTAGTTTCATTAACATTCCCCCAACAATTTATAGAATTTTTGCTTGATTTCAATATCATGGAGCGTTACACCTGAAGGTTGTTATTTGACTTTGTACTTGTTATCAAAGTTTGCTCAGCATAGTAACTTTGACATGAATATTTCATGTGATCAACAGTTTTTGAACTTACTGGTCATTAGTGCTATATTGTGAAAAGCGAGACGATTACTTAAAGTAACGATTCTATAGGAGAGGTGAAAATCAACAATAGACAGTTTCTGTTTACAGATAAGTGGAAAAGATTGTCTCTAAAAAAAGAGCAAAAAAACAATATTAGCTTTTCAAAGAAAAAAGTTAGTTTTTTTACCTGTATTACTTTCTATTTTTTAGATATTAAGATTCAAATTTAGAACCTGCTAAATTTATTTGCAACATTTTGTACGTAAAACTGTAATATTTGAGCTAATGCACTTGTTTTTCGTTTTTTTTTTTTTGGTATTTATATTAGAATATCAGTAAGTTTTTTTTGTTGATAATTTACTTGTTATTTGGCTACTAAATAATTTATAAAACGCTCAAGGTTTGTATCTGGAAGAATAGCATTCTTTTTTTGGGCTATTCTTTTTTGGCTGAGTAAATTCTGAATGACATTTTGTGGTTAATTGAACTATATGCAACGTTGAACTGTAGAATAATCTGCTTTGTCGGGTAACATTGGACGATTAAACCACTGTAAAGGATTGCGATCTGTTAATCAGTTGAAAAATTGGGTTCAACAAACCAATTCCAACAAGTTTCTGTTCTTACCAATTGTCGATAGGCCAAGTTTTTAATTAAAATTATAATTTTTTTTTGTTGTTGTTGTTGTTGTAATTGGTCTACGACTGTTATGTAATATTCCGCAGAGAATTCAAAAATCTATTTAGGTTATATAGGAGAGCAGAAAAACCGCCGAATAAAAATCCGATGACAATGTTCCATCTATTTGTACATTATAAGCGGAAGAAATTTTTTTTTTTTTGACCTACAATAATGACATTCATCAAGTTCAGGAAAAGAAGAATTCTTTTCCTTTTTGTCGACGTATATATCTGTTAAGAAAAAAACTGCTTCAAAAATTTTTGAAATATTTCTTAACATCTTGCAGTTGTTTTGTTTTGTTTTGTTTTGTTTTTTTGCAGAACATAAAAAGTAGGATATAAGAAGTGAAGAAAAGATTATTGGAAATTTTTTGATGGTAAAAAAAGAAGATCAGTAAAAGGCTGATAATGCTTTATACTTTACTTATTTTCTTTTTTAACAAATGTACAAGTTTTATAGCAGTCTACCGTGGTTGCCAATTTCGAGCTGTTAGTCTTGCAAAACAGGTCATCAGCATAGAAAAAAAAAAAGTTTGCCATCTCTTTTCCTTGTCCCATTTTTTTTTCTCGATTTTTTTAAGACCTTTATTTTCTGTTCTTTTGTATCTGCTGTTTTTCTGTACAACTTGGGAGAAGAACATGTGAACTGTAAGAAGACTTTACGGCATAGCTGTAAAACAGCAATCTTATAAAACTGTCAATCGAAGCCTTTTGATTTGTTTTTTTTTTTTACTTCACTGATTATTTAGGTAACATTTATAAAACAGATTAACAATAGGTGCTGTTTTTTTTTAATTATATTTTTGATTACAAATAACTAAAGCAGTGAATAGATTGATAATTGCTAAAATGTTGTTGAGCTTCACTTTGGTCTCAAGATTTTTTCCTGAATTTTTTGGTCAAAGCTTTATTCATTTATTCAATGCACTTTCGATGTATCTGCACTTTTTTCGTTGACAAAAAAAAAAAACGGTTTTGAATCAGACATTTCATTGACCAATCTATCTTCATTGCTTTTTTTTCGCCTATATTTTAAATGTCTACATTTTTTGCTTTACTGTTTCTAAGATCAAATTTTTTTTTTCTTTTTGCAATGAAGGATCTTCCCAGGAAAAAAAAAATTAGATTTTTTTTTTTTCAAAATTTAATCTGCTTTACTAACAAAAAAGCGGACGGAATCTGTATCGTTTTTCTTTCTTTTGACATTTTTGAACACTTCATTAGCATAAAATAAATTGTCAAAAGTTGTCTTTGGCAGTGTTCTGCTTGGCATCTTCAAAAATCAACAAATCTGACAAAAAACACCGACAAGCAAAGTAATTACTCATAAAGTAAAGGTAAAGTCAAAAAAAAAAAAAAAAGAGAGACGATGGAAACTGCGGCTGCAAAAGAAAAAAATTTTTAAGGTGAAAAAAAAATATTGACTTAAACATTTTAATAGACATATTTAAACTATAAAAAAGCATAAGAAAAAACAAAAAAACAGTATCAATTCAATCAACCAAATAAACATCACTCCTCTTCCACAATTGATTTGTCAACAATTATATTGCAACGGTATGTAACACGTCAAAGATGTAGGAAACTGTTTCCACTAATTGCATTTCTTTTTATTGCATTTTTTATTAAGCATCATTAAAAATGTTGAAACTTTTAAGCAAAAAATTTGTTTCAGTTTTATCGTCAAGTTCAAAAAAAAAAAAGAAAAAAAAGACTCGCTGTCAACTGTTCACATTTGTGCGACAGATCAAACTATTCAGATGACTGTTTTATCAGTTCTTAATTGACAGTTATGTAACAGTACTGAGAAAGCAAAACAGCAAAAAAAAA